AGTAAGAATTAATAAGCTTTTACTTTTATTTCCCTCTATTTCTTGACCCCCATCGATTATACTGCTGAGTTCTTTCACATTTCCATGAAAATCCTGTTCTAATGCCATGTCATCTACTTGAGAATCACAAACTAAGCTGAAAGGCGTCCATTTTGTGTTACACAATAACACAACTCTTACTTTCAAACTGAATAGTACAAATACATGTATGGTCAATATCATTCTCAAAATTAAGTTCTGAAGCTTATGGAACCTTCTAGGAAAAGAGACACATTTGAAAATTCCTGAAGGAAACAAGAATACATTTCTCAATCATCACAGGAACCCAAAGATGCTACAGCCCTTATTTCCCCAAATAGCCCTGGGCCTCACTACCTAGAACATTGACTGTCCTCTTCTCAAACAGACTAAAGAATTGGTGTCCCATCATGTCAGACATGGGCCTGAAGTGTGCCTGACTGAATCTTGGCTCAGGCCTGCCCTTCCTCATCACTCAGAACCTCTTCAAACAGGGATGGGCCAGAACTTGGATCCCTTCTATAATCCCTGAGCAAAAACTCGAGGACATTCAACTTGGTGGTCTCAGCTTGGGCCCTGGGACCCTACAGGAACTCATATCATGCAGGATTGCTGTTGGGCACCTGCCGGTACTCCAGGTACTTTTCTGCACCCAAACGTTAGTGAGGAGCTCTCTAGGCGTCCCACAGATCCAATGCTCTTTCCCATCAAGCAAGCACCTTACATGTAGGGCTTTCCAAACTTCCTCCTCAGGGGCACAGTCACCCTCTGAGGCAATCACCCATAGAACTGTGAACAGGAGGCCAGTGTTGGGAAATGTAGGCTCATCACATACCATCCCATCATAGGTGAGGCCCAAGGTGGTCACCAGGACATAGGTGTGGGCACTGGGGTCCACTTCCTTCACATCAATGCCAAAGACCAGCTGCATGCACGCAGAGGCTGTGCTGAAGATCTCAGGGAAGTGGTCCTGGTGCTCTTTGATGACACTACTCAGCATTTCTGCCTTTGTGGTCGGCTCCCTGGTGCGATACTTGAGGAGCAGGAAGGCCACCAGGCAAGCCTTCTTTAAACGTAGGGTGCCTTGCAAAGAGGACTTGGCCTCTTCAGAGCCCTCCCTGCTGGTTGCCCCCTCCTTATCTGGGCTGCTGGAGCCCTCATCTTCAGGTTGGATACATGGAGGGGCTGCCATGGCAGAGGGGGGAAGGCAGGCACCCTGAGGGCTGTGGGGAGGACTTGATGTCTCAGCAGCAGCTGCCTCCTCCAGGCTCTCTTGGAATAGTCCTGAAAGGGAGGAAGAGATAGAGGAGGAGGGAGATATAGCCTCCTCCTCTTTTTGTTAACATATATTTTATTGATTTTTTATAGAGAGGAAGGGAAAGGGAGAGGGATAGAGTGTTTGAAACATCGATGAGAGGAACATCAATCAGCTGCCTCCTGCACATCCCCCACTGGGGATATGCTGGCAACCAAGGTACATGCCCTTGACTGGAATCGAACCTAGGACCCTTCAGTCCACAGGCTGATGCACTATCCACTGAGCCAAACCGGTTAGGGCAAGCCTCCTCCTCTTCTACCTCCTCAGGCCCAAGCAGCTGCACCGCCACCAGGTCAAGGTTCTCCCTTGAGTCCTGATTGTCTTCCTCAGGCTTGTAGAGCTCATTCCTCTGATAGTGACACATGATGACTTGTGCTGGGACCGCGACAGTAGTTGGGCAGAAAGTGGGTACTGGGGACTCATGGGCCTGTGAGAGAGGGAATGTGAGGGGCCTCAGTTGGGAAATGCACCCTAGGGGGCTCTGACAAAGGCTAATTACAAGTCTCTTTTTCAGAAGTGCTTTTCAGCATCACAGGTGTCTCTGCTCAGCGACCTGTCCAGGAGGATCCTGAAGGAGGAAGTGAGAAGGCTTCTCAGGGTGCAGCTGGCACAACCCAACGTTGCACTCTGGACTTGGACTGGTACTGGAGGTAGACTGGAAGAACTGCAGCCTGTGGAGCCAAAGAGAACAGGAAGAGAGGTCCCATCACTAGGTTTCTGACTTGACTTGGCAGGGTTGTTCGGGAGTGCAGGTTCCGAAGTCCAGTGACACTTTTCTGAGATAAAGGGAAGGCAAGGCAGTGCCCCTCCTAGAGGGACCTGGGAGACCCATACTTGGCCTGAGGGGCACAGACCAGGTCAGCACAGGGTCGGGGCCCAGGCCATCCAGCCCAGGTAGGGACCAGAAGGGGGGGCTGGGCACAAAGAGTGGAACTCCACCCTGTCAGCAGGCCTGGGTGACCCCACAATTGGTTTCCGGAAGTGATGTCACTGACTCATTGACTTCCGCCTGAGAAGCCTGAGGGAGCCGAGCGCCATCTTTGGGAGGCCGGCTTCGGGTCGGTAGACCGGACAGGCGCTGAGGGGAGCCACCTCAGGTCGGCAGGACCCAGGGTCTGCCTGGAATCAGGGTGAGGACCAGACGGAGGTCCCGGGGAGCTAGTCCAGCCCCTGCCGGGAGCCCTGGGGAGTGAGGCCAACAGGCCTCCCCTGGGGTCTCGGGGTGACGGCCTCCATGTGGGGGTCCGTCCTCCCGGTTCACAGAGGGAGGGTCCCAGGACCTGCAGGCCTCATGGTGAGGGCGGTGGGGGACAAGGTGACTCTGGGCCCAGAGCAGTCAGTCCCGGGAGCCCCAAGGCTCGGGGTGAACGCAAGCGGCGAGGCCTGACTTCCGGGTCCTCCGGGTCTGAGACCCTCGGGCGGCTCCGTGTCACGGCAGCGTCTCAGGTCGGCAGAGGGAGTCCGGGACCTGCCGGGAGTCAGTGTGGGGACCCTGAGGGAGATTGGGGGGCCTGGACCCCAGAACAGTGTCCATCGGGCGGGCCTCCTGGGGTGGGGGAGGGGTGAGCTCACGCATTCTGCTTTGTGATTTCTGCATTGGGTCTGAGAGACACGGGGGGTTGGTAGCAGGAGCAGGGCTTCAGGCAGCCCAGGGGGCACCCCAGATCCTGCTGCTGTCAAGCTGAGGACCCTGAGGGAGACTGGGGGCCCTGGACCCCAGAAACCTCAATCCTGGGAGGACCAGTGGGTGGGGTAGTACAGGGCTGGCGGGGTGACTTCTGCATCAGGTGTGAGAGACTCGGGTTTGCTGTAAGGAGCAGCGCAACAAGTCCACTTAAGGAGAACAGACGGGACACTGGACCCCACAATATAGGGGACCCCATAAAGGGCCTCCACTGCTACAAGCCATGGGAGCCCCCCCGTCAGATGACCCCGTGAGATGTCTCCTTACTGACACATGCAGGTCTAAGGGAGACTGGAAACTTGATAAATCATGTAGGGCCTCCCTCAGGTCCACAAAAGGGACACAGAAGCACTGTCCAGAGTCAAGGTGCTTTTCCTGACTTTTGAATCTGGGTCTGACAAGCTCTGGGGTTCGGTGTAAGGAGCAGGGTCTCAGGTGGGCAGAGGGAAGAGTCAAGGTGAGGACCCCCAGAGAAGACTGGGGGAATCCAGGAACCCTAACCGGAGGGGAGTCCACAGAAGTCTGCCCTGCTCCAAGTGTTGGGAGGCCCTATGGTGGATGACCATGCAGAGAGGAACCGCAGAAGCCCAGACCTGATGTCAGCCCTGGGAATTCTGGGGGAAGCACAAAGTCGGCAAAGGGGAGAACCCAGGTCATGCCCCGAGTCGAGGTGAACATGCAAAGGGAAGACTGAGGGACCCGGGAACCCATAACAGAGATGCCCCACATTACCCCTACTGTGAACCCTGGGAGGCCCCCGGTCCATGACCACATGCCACATGCTCACTTGGGCATCTCACGTTGACAGAGAGGAGGTTCCAGCTCCAGCCAGGAGTCACGGTGAGGATCCTGCAGGAAGACAAGTGGACTCCACCCCCTGAGCTCTGAGGGGTCAGGCTCCAGGTAGGCAAAGAAGGGCTGCAGGGCTCTGCCAGGATACCAGGTAAGTACCCGAGTTAGGATTCAGGAAGCCCCTAGCACACCTTGCAGTATGTATGCCTGAGGCTTGGCCAGGGCCATAAGTGTCCACAGTGTCCCTCTTCCTGCCAGCAGCACATGGAAGCCTCATGGTAGGCCTGTGGATTTGGGTTGCTTCCAGACTTCTACCTTAGGAGTGGCAAAGGGAGGTGAGGGCATTGTCCTGAAGGTGCTGGATTCAGGACAACATGGGAGGTGTGCCAGGCAATGCTGGTAATTAAAGTGTGGGTCTTGAGTCAGGATGGTTGTACCTCCCACCCCAGTAAAAACAGGGACCAGCTGGCTTAGGCTCTGCTGGCACAACTGGGTCACTCGGCACGATAGTTAATGTGGTGTGTCTTAAAGTCCACCTTGGAGGTCACAGAGAGATGGTGGGCATGGCCTGCAGTATTCATTCTCAGTTCAGCAGAAGGGAAAGGTCCCAGGCACTCCACAAGTAAACCTGGGTAGCTCGGGGAGGAAGGAGGATACCACACTCCAGACAATGGGTGCCCTGAACCCAGTCTGTGCTGCTGTCAGCCCTGGGAAAGGCCTGGCATGGGTCTGCAGAGGTGGTTCCCTCACACGTTTGTCTCAGGGCACTCGGGAAGGACAGGGCCTTGGTCAGAGGGAATGGCTTCAGTTCATACAAAGAGGAGCTGAGGTTGTGGAAGGGTCATAAAGGTGTGAATCCTTTCTTGTGGGAAACTGCAGCTATGTCCTCCGCAAGAAAAGAAGAGAGCCCTCAGCATCAGGGAGTGTCCTGTCCTCAGCATCCAGATTCCCCAGGCAGGGGTACCTGGGTGTAACATGCTCTCCCTTTCCACATGCCTGCTCCTCCTGAGCTTTTCTCACTGAGGACAGTTATTCAGGGTGAAATCGGGTCAGCTGGATTCAGATCCAGGCCAGGCCAGGAAGAAAGGCAAGTATCCTGAGGCCAGACTAAGGGAACTCTGTACCCAGAATGGATGGGCCCAGGCCCTGGTGTCAGTTGTGTGGGAACCTGGACTGGGGTGGGGGCAGATGGAGCTCCTGTTCACTTTTGTCTCAGAGCTCTCAGGAAGGTGAGGACCTTGGTGTGAGTCCACACGTCCTGTCATCCACCAGATCCACATTTTGTCAACAGAGAGAGGAGTACCAGATCCTGCAAGGCATCAAGGTGAGCACTGAGGGGAAGCAGAGCACATGGGAAGCCAGACCTACCCTGTCTCCTCTGTCAGCAATGGGGAAACTTGGAATAGTGCCTGGATTACCTAAGCTCACTTCCTACTCCTGTATCTCACGGGGGTGAAGCCTAAGGCTAAGTAGATTGCCATCAGTCAGCAGAGAGAGTGGTCTGAAACCCTGCAGTGCATCATGGTGAGAAATGATCAGAGCCTTAACCCAGTATAGATGGACTCAAATCTTCAGTCACCCCTTCTTGATCCTCTGGGAGAGGGACCACGTGTGGGGCCCCCTCCGTTTCCTCACTGCAGTGTCAGGTGTGTGTGGTCTTGTTCTGAGAGTTTGACCTCAGGCCAGCAGAAGGCAGTGAGGGGCCAAGCCCTGGCAGGGGAAAGGTGAGGATTCTACATGTGCAAGGAGGAACCTCCCACCCACAGCAGAGGGGACCTCACAGAGTCCTGCCGCCACTCCTGTCAGCTTTGGGGTCCCAGGAATGTGCTTGCCATGTGCATGCTGAGGTGCCCCTTTCTTCCCTCCAGAAGAGGCCCCGGATTGGAGGAGGTGAAGGCCTTGGTCTAGTCTACATATTCTCAGGTCACAGAGCAGCAGGAGGCCAGGAAGTGCTAGGAATTAAGGTGAGGTGCCGACCATGAATATGTCCCCATGGGCTCCCCACCCATGACTGAGGGTCCTCACATTGCCTGACAGCTCCACACCCCACCGTCAGCTACAGAGCCCTGTGCTGTGCCTTCTATACCCTGAACAGTCATGTCACTTGCTACTTCAGGTTCTTAGTGGGCAGGCTGATCAGGAGTGAGCCCTGTGAGGCCCATGTACACCCACCCCTAAAGGAGAGACCTGGAAGTCAGCTTTGTCAGAGCCGCCTAGGGTGTGTTTCTCAGCTCATGCCTCTCACACTCCCACTCTTCCCCAGGCCCGTGGTTCCTCATCGCCCATCTTCTGCCCACACTCGGTCACTGTTCGAGCACGAGTCATCATGCCTGGTCATCATATGAGTGAGCCGTGGAAGCCTGAGGAAGACTTTCCGTACCCAATTGAGATCCCGGACTTGGTGGCGGAGGAGCTGTTCTGGGCTATGCAGGAGGAGGAGGAGGAGGAGGAGGAGGAGGAGGAGGAGGAAGATGTCCTCTCTCTCTCCTCCTCCCCCTCAGTCCTGTTTATAGACAACCTAGAGGAGGTGTCTGCTGCTGAGACACCAAGTCCTCCCCAGAGTCCTGAGCGTGCCTGCCCCTCCCCCCATGCCATGGAAGCCTTTCCATGTAGCCAACCTGAAGATGGGAGCTCCAGCATCCGAGATGAAGAGGGTCCAAACACTGAGGGAGGCCCTGAAGATGATGCTGATTCCTTGCTCCACAAAGCACTGCGTTCGAAGACGATGGAAATGGTTGAGTTCCTGCTCCTGAAGTATCTTGCAAAGGAGCCAACCACAAAGGCAGAAATACTGAGTAGTGTCATCAAAGAGCACCAGGACCACTTTCATGAGATCTTCAGTGTGGCCACCGAGCGTATCCAGTTGGTTTTTGGTATTGTGGTGGAAATGGACCCCAGTGCCCACACCTATTTCCTGGTCACTGCCTTGGGGCTCACCTATCATGGGATGGTGAGCGATGGGCACAGATATCCCAACACAGGCCTCCTGGTCACACTTCTGTGTGTGATCGCCTCAGAGGGTGATTGTGCCCCTGAGGAGAAAATCTGGGAAGCACTGAGTGTTTTAGGGGTATATGATGGGAAGGAGCATTGGCTCTATGGGGATCCCAGGGAGCTCATCACCAAAGTTTGGGTGCAGGAACAGTACCTGGTGTACCGCCAGGTACCCAATACCAATCCTGCACGCTATGAGTTCCTGTGGGGCCCCAGGGCCCACGCTGAGACCACCACGGTGAAAGCCCTCCAGTTTGTGCACACGGTTAATCACAGGGATTCCCATTTCCTCCCATGCCTGCCTGAAGGGCCTGAGTGCAATGAGAAACACTATGCCTGAGCCAAAGTTGCATCCAGGCACTTTTCAGGCTCATGTGCATTAACTTCTTTTGCTGGGCATAAAGTGCATCCAATTTTCAACTCTGTTTGAGAAGAAACCAGTAGTGAGAACCAGGTAAAGGTTTGGGCTCCTATTGTGATTGAGAAATTTATCATTTTTTATTTTTTGATGTTTAAAGGAAATTTTCTAATGTCCCTTTGGAAGGTTTCATAAACTTTTAGCATGTAAGTTTGTAAATAACATTGATCACATATATATTTCTACATGTCCAGCTCAAGAGTAAGAGATTTGCTACTATGTAACGAAAATTGGGACCCTTCCCATCCTAGTTTGTGATCCCAAACTAGATAACATGGCATTATAAAAGGATTTCCTTGGAAATGTGTATGAACTCAGCAGTGCAATCCATGGTGTTAAGAAACAGAAAAAATAAAAGCAAAGGGTTGTTAATTTTTGCTTCTTATATCTTCTTGTCTGTCTTTCCATGAAACAACTTATCTAAGGATCCTTGGTTGTGGCAAGAAAGTGGAGGAATTTCATCTGAATAAAGACGACCCCTGCTCAGTGGTTCATTTAATCCCCAGACATTCACTGAGCCTATGTCCTCTGGAAGGCCCTGTGTTAGTAGTGGGCACACTAACATAAGCAGGGCATATCCACCCACAGGATGATACTGTAGGAGCTGAAGTCATATAAGGAAGGGGTTAGGTGTTCCCTAAATCCTACAAACAAGTAACATAACAGGTGAGGCGGTGGGCCTCCAGGGAACAGCACTCAATTGTGAATGGCCTTCATTTTTACCACAGCGTACTTGCAAGGCATGGATGCAACTGGAGAGCATTATGCTAAGCAAAATAACCTAGTCAGATAAATATAAATATCACATGATCTCACTCATATGGAATATAATGAACAACATAAATGGATGAATAAAAACAGATCCAAATACAGAGAAGCTTCGTTCAGACCATCAAACCTCAGAGGGAAGGTAGGGGAGGGTGGAGGTAAGGGGGAGAGATCAACCAAAGGACTTGTATGCATGAATATAAGCCTAAGCAATGGACACAGACGCCAGGGGGTGAGGGCATGAGTGAGGGGTGGTGGTGGGCAATGAGGTAATAAGGAAACATATGTAATACTTTAATTAATAGATAAAAATAAAAATGATGTGCATGGCTTGAGCCATGGTATTTTGGAAACTGATTCCCTCTACTGGGGTTGATTGTAAAGAAACTGGGGGTGGCAGGGGCACATTGTGTGTCCTGGGTGTGAGAGGGAAGTGTGAAGTGGAAAATTGTCCTGACAAGTTCCTTTGGGATCATGGATAAACCAGAGGGGAATCTCCACCTGGTTAGGAAGAGTGCTTTCCTGCACGCAGTCTCAGTGCCATTGGACAGTATGAGCACTAGGCATGTTATACCCATCATCTGCACAGATTTCTACAGAAATACAGTTACTGGGCCATGAGTAACATGATGGCCTGGGAGAGCCTAATTGGGATTGAATGTTAATGATCTTGAGTGTGATCTGGCCAATCATCATCAAGGGGTAGATTCTGGGTGGGGGTGAAATCAATGAAAGCATTTGTTTGGATGAAAGAGCAGCTTGGAGAGAGGGAAAGAGTTGTTCCTAGATTCTCTTTCTAGCATCTTGTGTGTGTCCAGCTGTGAAGGCTCCCCACACCTGAATGTCAGCATACATCCATGAATTGGGAACACACTGTTTGGCCAATTGGGTGTTCTATGCAATACTGAACTGCACATTCTCTAATATGACCTTGATAACAAAAAAGTAATCACAGTGCCAGAGGCCAAAGTGGAAGTATCTGGGATAAAAACGATATTAGAAATAACTGTCATTCATCACAATTTCAATCTCCACCAGGCAATGTGCATGGTCCTTTAATAACACTCCGCATATCCCTGCAGTCCTATAAGACAGGGCTTATTAGACCCACTTACTTCACAGAGGAAGAACCTTATGCCCATTGGGCCAGCTAATTATCCCAGGAATACATGGCTAGTAAGTGGCATTGTGGAGTCTTGACCCCTTGCCTGAATTCATCAGAAGTCCATGATATATTCCCTGCCTTTCTAGCCCATGGCCCACCTTCTGCCTCACAATTAATCTGTGCTCTCAGTAGGAATGAACTCTTTCAGAGGACAATTAGTTGACCCCAGGGGCCCAGGCAAGAGAAGGCTTAAGGAAGGAAGGTGACATTGAGAAAAAAAACTATAATTTGGGGATTGTCTGATGTTTATTGATATCTGAGTCTTCCCGGGGCCAGGATTTCTGCCTTGTCCCAGCATTTTCCCTCATCCCAGCATTTTCCCTCATGACAACACCCTTCCCCTGGTCTTCCCTTGGGTGCCTCCTGTCCATCCCTGGATCATGGTCTGCTGACTTGCTCATCAGTGCAGCCTCCTTTTAAGGCTAGTTTCATAATGGATTTCTTCAACTGCACTGAAGTAAGCAGTGTGCATATTTCATCTTCAAAGGAAAAGATGAGCCTGATGTTGTAGATTCTTCATGACAGTGGAAATTCGGTTGCTCTTGCTTCAAAGAACATTAGCTAGTGGTCCTACAGAAGCCTTGGGATGCAAGGGTGCCTTAATCATAACAAATAAACACCCTCTCTCCACCAATGCCAGACTGTGGTTTCCAAAGCCCTCTCTCCATTTGTCCTCCCATAAAATGGACAACTCCCTTCAAGTAAGTAATTAGCAGACACATGAGCTAGCAAAGTGCACAAGGAAATATTTTCAGCCTTTAAATAACAAATTTAAGAAACAATTGTTTGGTAGGCAACTGAAGGGAGCTGGCTCTTTATACAAAGACACTAGGAACTCCCCACCCCCACCCCAAACCCACCAAGACTTATTCTCTAGGGCATATCCTTCAAGAGTATACTGACTTTGTGAATAAATGCTTTGTAATCCTGTTTAGAGGCACAAAGACCATGGACTGAGCCTGACCCAGGCACTCCATTAAGGATACAGTCCTTAGGCTGAGGGGCACCTTGGGGGATTCTGTTTCCAAATGCCTTTGCACTCCACTTTTAGAAACAAAGGATTGACCCTCAGAGACCACAAATTTCACCATCTAGTGCAAGACATGGGACAAGGACTCATGGGACAAGGATACAGACTCACTACCAAGGAAAATTACAACTTGTTTAGTTAGCTGTAACTGAAGGAAGCAGATATGAAAATAATCATAACTACATCCTTGAACATAGATGAGATTCTGGGTGTGGGATGAGACAAAAGTCAAATTCAACTCATCTTCACCAAAGAGGAGAGGATACTAAAATGATTTTGTGATCCATGTTCTCTAGCTGTTGTGGTTAATTTTGGTCTTAATACTCTGAAAAGGGAGATAGAAGGGTACCATGGGAAGGTACCACTGCTTGTGCCCCCACGTATACAGGAGTACAACCCTACTCTAGGGACAACTTGACTTAGGGGTAATAAAGAAGGACTCTTAGTTTGGGCTCATCTGAGCAGGACCCAGCAACCAGCAAGAGCAGCTGTAAGAGACCAAAGCAGCATGCTTGTTGCTGCTGGACAGGGGGGCTACTGAGGGGGGCTACCTACTGAGACGGCACCAAACACCATTTTCTGGGAGGTACAGTGCAGCAGGGGCCCATCTGACCCAGGCATTCTTGGTGGTCTTGAAGGAATGACTAACCAGGGCCTTGACCTTGAACTATCAAAGAGGCCATCAACAGTCCTCCTCCCTCTCTAGGGATGAAAGTAGAGAAAGGATTATGACTTCTCAACACATCCAGTGAACTATCAACAAGAAACAGTCTCCTTGGCAACAGATGAGAGTTCTTTCTGGTCACCTGAACCCAATATTTGTGTGCTTTTTAGAAAGAGAGAAAAAGGGGGTGTTACACATGTCCACTCCCCCACACTTGTCCTCGGCCCACACTCCAGAGGAGCTGTGAGCCACCTTTTTGAAATCTCATGACTTAAGCAGCTGCTTGCCCCACGGCTGGGACTCTAGAATTTGGAGGGCATTATATATTGGGCATCCCTTCTATGACCCCCCTGCTCAGTGATAGGATTATAGTAGGCAATGTTTTTTAATGTAGAGTACCTCCATGCCTAGTCCGAGTACCTATTAGATGCAAGGAGCCAAGCTTGTTCTATCACAGGTGTTGGAGACACGGGTACCAAGCGGGGAGCTGAGACAACCCAGAACCAGAGGACCCAAGCCAAGGTGCTGCCAAAGTGGAAGGAAACAATGATAATCTGGGACTGTCCTTCCCAAGAAAGCTTTGGGGGATAGCGGTAGACGACCCCTTGACGTCTGTGCACTGGAATGGTGCTGGAGACACCGGGATCATTAAGAAAGATCTTGAAGATGGCTGCCGAGTGGACAGCATACTGCAAGATCATGTGTGAGTGAGAGGATGAAAGGAGAGTGTGTGGACGTACAGGGAGTGTATATTTGTGGGTGAGGAACAGCTATACTCCAAGGGACTACTGGGGACTGCCAGACTGGGTTCCCCAGACCGGCAGCCTCCACTGCTGCTGAAATCTCCCCTAGAGCAACTGGCTCTGCCACAGAGACCGCACCATCTTGAAGGGGAGAGTGGCAGTGATCTGAAGCCTATACATCCTCGGACTCTACAACCACAATACCCAGGGACAAGCTGCGAAACCAGGAACACAGGATCTCAAGCAGCGTGAATATGCGACTCTGATGAGCTCTGCACCTTCTCACGGAAAGGTAAGATTTCACCTAGGGAAAGGTGATGTCTGCAATCCAGGCTGGAGAGAGAAATGCTTGCAGCAGGATCTAGAGGTTCTGGGGAAGTCTGCGCCCCACAAAATCCATGGCTGTTGGGGTGACTGGCGGGGGTGGAAGGGTATCCAGAGGGCTGCTGCCAGAAAGGACCTCTAAAAATCTACCCATATCTCAGCTGGGCACAACAATGCAGCCTGAAATTTTAACAGTGTGCTGGCTGCTTAGTGCCAGGGGAATAAAGA